CTATGCTATTTTAGCTTTAAATGAAGAATATTCTTAGGGTAATTGCGGATGCAGTTGTTTTCATCTAGAATATTTTGTTCTCCAGTTCTGTTTTTAACTGAATATTTCCTGTTACAGATCATTAAAGTATGGATTCTATTTAAGTGTGCCTCCACATGAAAGTAAAAGTTGAAAAGTATATTTTAATCTCAAATCTCACTGTTCTTACCTACATACCTAGATTTTTTCCCCCAATTTGGAATAGGAGATGTTGCTACATTTTGATACTCTACTTAAAGGATATTTTCCGAGTGCATCTATCAGTGCTTTATACTGCTGTGTTATAGGTGGATTTTGTGTAGAAATTTAGAGCAATGAATCTAAAAAAAAATTAAACATACTTCTTGGTAAGGGCTATCTTACTGTGTGAAGAACTGGCCAAATGTGTCTTTATCATTGCAATGAAACATAAGCTGAATTTTTAAGTACCTAAGAGATATGTGCAGTTGATCCACGATCAACTTTTGCAAAACTAAAGTCTTTTTGATAAAAACTTATTTCTGACTATCCTTGATACTGCTTTAGTTTACCTTTTACTACCTTCCATGACTTCTCTCTTACAAGGCTATGAAACAGACTTAGCAAAAATTGATCAACTTTCTATTGTGTTTTGTGGATGCCCAGTACTGGTTACACATTCAGATTAGGCTAGTCTTCATGCAACAGTCATGTTTACATTTGTCATTCAGTGGATACATCGTTGATATAAGCAGAATAAAAGTTAACTAGGTTGCATGCTGTGCCATCTTTTTAATGTATAGACCTGTGTATATATCTATAGATTACAAAAATGAGGAGATTATGAAATTTAAGAATTGTTCTAGTCTGAGAGTTTATCTCTAGTCAAATACTATGAGAAATCTTGAAAGTTGCAGTATAGTTTTGAAATTAGCTTCTTATTTTGTTGCTCAGGTGCAAAATTTTGTCATCAGTTTACACTTACCCATCAATGAAATGAACCTTTAATAACATGCTCAGGACACTTCAGTAGCCATGTATTGTTTAAGAAAGAGTGGGTTACTCAATAGTTGCCCAATGTCTAGAATATTAATCAGGAGTTGCAAAATTTTTTCATGTGGTTTGGGTTTTTCAAGGGTTCTTATTAGACAATACAGTTTCATTCCCATTAGATTGTTTTATACGGATATTGTTCTTCTGACCAGCTTCAACTTTGATCTGACTTGATCCCCTATAGCATTTACAGAAAAGCTTCCCCTGCCAGAGTTTCATTTACTGGCCTTTCAGAGCCCTTATCTCTTTTCCTAGGAGGTTGAGGAATGAGATTTGTGAGATCTCTGTCTAGCTGTGCAGGTGTAGATAAAACATCTATCCATCTGCACCTATCTGCAAAGCACTCCTCAGCAGTTCAGGTAGGGATGGAAGTGACCATACTTCTTAATCCAGGGCTGTTACATTGCATCAACCTTCTCTGCTCTTTAATCCTGCTTTTTAGCTGAAATTTTAGCTGTAGGCTGTTGATGCTTGTGGTGTGCCATGGATGTGAGTAATCACTGAGGAGGTTACTCATCTGTTGTTTGAGTAACATCTACCTGGGTTTTTTTATATGTACATATGTAGAGAAGGTCAGTCTAAAAAGTGTTTATCATAACTACTTTTCTTCTCCTTTCTCCCTCTTTAGACTCTTAACTGTTGTTTTCTCAATCTAATTTAAACTTATTTCTTTGGAGAGGCGAAAAGTACAGCTGTGTCTTACTAGGTTTACGCATCTAAACGCCACTGATTCAAACATGTTTTCTTTTCTCTAAACAGAAATTATCTTAGGAAAAAGTGCTTCTTCAAGGGCACTTGCCCTTAGACATTTGTCTGATAAGCAAAGCCTTTTCTCAAAAGAATGATGTCTTATCAGCACAAGGGCTGAATATCTTGTAACTCACTTTTCTCTTATCTGAATTGAAGTTTTGTTTAGTTTTTATATTCTCTCATCTTGCTCTGC